GAGAAATATTCAATAACTTAAAACCACAAAAATGATTGATGGCAGTCTTGTTAATTAATAAAATAAGATTGGATATATTTTCCAAGAAAATAAGACGAAGATATAATTATATAATTGCTTGTAATTATTTATTAGATCTAAACAAGAGAAAATATGAGATAAAATACTTTATAAATTAAAAAAAAAATTAAAATGAATGTATTAACATAATTATATTTTTATATATAATTTAATTAAGCTTCAAAAATCAAGAAAGAAATTTACTTTCTTTTTAATTAAAAAGTTATGCAGTCTCAAAAAAAAAACACTTCAGTTAAATTAGACACTTTAAAAATTTTGTTTGTTTAGAAAATTTCGGATCCTGTATTACTTTTTCCTATAAAGATAAGAAATATGAAATCTATTAAAAAAATATTAGAATCAACTATTGATTTTTAATTACAATTAAATGCACTTAATAAAATAAATAGGAATCAATTACTATCGATAGTTCTAGTTAATTAATCATAATTAAAAATTAGACTATATAAAATTAATTGTAGCTTATTAAAATACAAGGACAATTCAATATTAAAAAATAATTATTAAACTGAAAAAATTAAGAATTACTTATTTCTAATATGCAAAAAAATCAATGCATAATAATTTTGTATATTTCTAATTATTTTATTTTAGGTATTAATCTTGAATTAAATGAAAATTTACGAACCATTTAATCTTAAAATGCCTTAATTAAATATAAAATTATTCAAAGAAGAAGTTCACTAAACTAATCAATTCAATCAATAGAATCAATTTAGATTTACTGTTATTTTTTATCATTTATATTTAAGAACCTTCATCAAAATTAGTTGATTTTTTGTAATTTCAAAATTTTTTTTTATGTTTCTCTTTTTACTCTCTTCTTCAACTCTCTTCTAATTATTACAAAAAATCTGAGTACAATTTTTTATATCATTTTTAATATAAATAATATAATTATACTATAGCTGAATTATAATTCATACCCTACTTCTATCAATATCATATTCCTAATTTCTCTAAACTGAGATTGATCTAAGTATATAATTTACTTATATTTTTATATAACACGAATTGAATATTTCATCGAAGTACAAGAATAGAAAATAACAAAAACTTTTAAGGTTAATTGGATGAACTATAATTTTGTCAATTACAAAACCTTAAAAGTAATAAATTATTACCTCCTTTTCTTTAATATTAAAAATTGGCTATATTTTTGTCGTTTATGAGAAAATTAAAAGTCATTCCTTTGTGATGATAAAATTTTAAGAAAAATTCTAATTTAAGAATAATATGAAAGATATTGAAATAGCTTTATTTAGGTGTTAGAAAAATACCATAGTCATTTAAAAATGAAGATTTAAAAAAGCCATCTAGATAGTATTGATTTGAAGATATAATTTAATATTGCATCTATTCAATTTTATATAATCAAAACTATTCACATTTTTTAATTTGGATTACTTAACAAATATAAAAAGAATTAACAATAAATTATATCATAATTATTAATTTATTTTATAATTCATATGTTGAATACAACAACTATATGAATTCCTCTCCTTATTATAAACTATTGGAAAACGATATTTTTCTTTTTTTATTTTCTATCCTTTTTTTCAGTTTATCTAATAATGTTCTATATTCTCTTTTTTCTGTAGTTTAATGTATTGATCCTGTTAATATAGAAAATCTTCCAC